ATACTTTGCAGTTCGACACCCAGAGTCACCCCCGCGCCGCGATGAGGCAGTAGACCATCACTGGGTTCTTAAAAGTTGCTAAGCTTAACTTTTCTAAGCTCTTATAATCCTTACGCAGAGAAAATGGTCTAATGTAACTCTAAGCGTAGCGAAACGAATGAGCTAAGATAATAGATATGTAGTTCTTGAAATATTTCTTGACGCATTGAGTGATTTACAACAGTCCGAATCCTATGCCAAATCTGCTTCGTGAACCCATAGTAAAGGCGAGAGCCATGGATTCTGATCTATACTGGAGAGTCTATAATCTTGCTCATCACGAAAGGGATTAAAAAAGATTCCGAAAGAATCTTCTTATTTAGCAATCATCATCATCATCAAGCCATAGGTATATTTTTGAGACACTGCATATAGTGTACATCATCTACTGTTCGTAAATCCTTTGAACTTTAATTATGTGCTGTCAACCTAGAGGGATCCTTTCTAAAAGGTATCATTCACCAAAAAACCAACTTACACTTCAATATTGGTAGCTACCATGCATGATACAACCCATAAGTAAATGCAGATAAGTGCAGGAATAGTGTCAAACTTTGGTATCACCATATATGGATTATCTAAATATAACATTGTGCGCTACTCAGGTTTGGGACGAATCTAACACAAAACATTACCGTTCTTATCTTCATCTTTGATAATTCCTGCATACTCTTCTTTGAAAAGAAACTGAACTACAAAACAGCAGATCACAGATAAAATGACCATGAAGAATGCTGGCACAGTGTACATATTGAACACGATAGCACCAATCTTTGCTCCCTTCTCTCCTATTGGCGTGAAAATAGCCTGTAACAATGAACCTTTTCCAGAGGTAGCAACAGAATGGTTGTGCTGCATTTCTTTAAACTCAAATTGCCAATTGAGTTGAGAGTTTACGCCCAAATCCTTCTTTCAATACTCTGCTTGATCGCGCTTATTTAACACAAATATGTTTTTTTTTTCGATAACTAACTTTGATGGCTAATAAGTAAAACGCCCTAAAGTCTAAAATTGCGTTTCTTTATTTACCAAAGCCCTTTCCATTTTCTGTCATCTTTTTCCTGAAAATCTGTTTTTTAGATAAGGTTATACGCTGCTCAC